TAATTATCCTTTACTTCATCAAAAGAACATTTCCTCTTCTGCTGTAATCAAGGAAACTAGACTTGGTTTAGTTTGATCTAGACTTGCCTAGATATTTTAGTAAAAACACTATCTCTCTATATATAATGTGCATAAAAAGTATATTTTTGTTGCCTGACACCGCACAGTCGCCCTCCATGTGACGGCGGCATTTTAACAAACCAGACAATCAAGTGATGGACCAGAAATCCAGTCACACGATACCGTATTTACTGATTTTGTTGAAACTTATAACGATATACTCAAGATTCTGAATATGCTTCATTGGAGAATGTTATACATGCGTTGCTACATTGGAACGACGTTTGGCAACCTTTCTGAAGTATCAACAGTTCTCATACGGTTCTACAAAATGGAGAAAAGCTTCCCAGGAACATTCAAACGCAAAGGGCGACTTTATCTCAAAATTAAAGTACTTGTCCTGTTAAAAACACGAATTATATAACCCAGTCACGTTTCCCCAGATACATTTCAAAGCAGCAATGACCAACCAATCTGTCTTCATTGCTACTGGGAGTACCCCCGTGTGCATCTCCTCCCTGGCACTGCACAGCAGGCCGTAGCAGCTCTCAGTCTCCTAGTCCTGCATGCACTCATTGCGGAATATCGGATTTTAATTTCATAACTAACAATTGTCTAAATGATAAAAAAAAGCCTAAGCCACAACTGTAAAATCACTTTCAGAAGAACAAAATATGTAATAAAATATTTCCGAGACTGGGGGGCCGATAACGGTTAAATCCATTGAACAAACCGGCATCCACCCCGATTTAACGCATTGTGTATGTCTAGCATCTCGGAATCTAGACAGTATTAAACTGTAAAGTACGATAACAGAAACATCGCGAAGCGTAGTTTTGTTGACACACTCTGCATGATTAGGTTTAATTATACAGTGGTTTATGGTTGGTATTTTTGTAAATCGGGAATGTAACTTAGTCAATTGTTCCCAGAGCCAGATCTGTCATTAAGTAGTGAGTTAAATTGTAAAGTATATTTTCAAACTCAAAGAAACGCTAACAAAATACCAATCACAGAAATCAGGCATCATTAAAACCCAGTACTTCACCATGTTTGTGTGTTTAGATGTGTGCGTTTATGTGTCAATGGAGATGTTAACATGTATTTTGAAGCACATTCATCGTGTACAATCCTCTCTTCAGAGCCAGCTGTTTGAATTCATGATCATCTAGCTCTTTTCACTTCAATATATTCTCCTGTGACTTTTGCCCATTTTTTCTTACGACCAGTGCCAGAATTGTACGTGCGTGTGTGTTTTTAATCAACGTCAAAAGAATCGATGGAAATGTCACGCACCATGGGACTTTCGGGGCCGTCCCGTCATGCACTAGATCAACACTTCCGGATAAGAGATGACGAAAGCACATGTGCAAATCTACAAAAAGCGGGCGCAGCTTTTGTCAATACTGAGTGCACCATATGTTTTCATAAGCATTATTTCCTGAAACATGTTTCCTTCCACTATTTCAGAGTTATTCTACTGATGTGATTTTAATCGAGATTATTTTTTTATAAAGGCATATAACGTGCTTAATTTCTATGAAATGGATTGTGTTAATCGGAATAGCTGGCAGGGAGGGAAATGGAGTGTTAAACAGTTCTCTGTGTAAGGTCATATGATGATAACACAACCTCCCCTATTTTATACAGACACAAGGGCCATCAATTTGTGTCATAATATTTTGCTTCCTTTCTGTTTTTGTAGCACCTGCTATTTCCACCAGTTATAATGGACCTTCTCAATAAGTCTATTGCATCGGTGGTCTATTGCAAGATACAATTTTCTATTTCTCAAAATAATCTTCAGTTTGGGTTCTATTGATGAAGCAGGGTATGTTGGAATTTCTTAGCACCGACCTTAAATGACAGTAAATCATCTTAACCGTTACATTAGAGTACTACTCTACAACATGATCATTAGTTTTGACACATCATGCAGACAACGGGACACCACGACCATTTTTGTAGCATTCGTTAGTCTAGACATGCATAAATTCCTCAAACAATGATTCTTATTAGAAGGCATCTGTTTTCCATCACAAAGCTCCATTCGCCTTAATATTTCAAGATGCGGATGAGAGTAACTCCTCGTTTGAACGTTGTGATAGTTTTTCTTCAGAGGTTCAAGACAATTTGTCTAAAAATGACAGCAAAGGTCATCTGAAGTTTACTGAGAAATAAATATGTGAAATGCTGAACTTCCTCATTGATAACATCCAAGCGAAATTTGGGGGTAAGACATTTAGGCAAGGAGTCGGCATCCCCATGGGCAGTAACTGAGCTCCCTTCTTGTTGATCTGTTACCTTATACACATGAATCGGTTCTGCTCGGATTGGTAAAACAAGGTAACTTGGTAAAGAACAAAAACTTCAGGTATATCGATGATCTGATAACGTTCAGTGACGTTTAATGTGATGGGTGCACCAGTGGGGCTAGATACTCTCACCTTTTCGAACACTGGTATCATCACTATTCGATAGTGATTACTAAACAACTGATCTAGTCGGCATCGTTAGTCGATACTGCCTTTGAACGTTGCACTGCTAGTATACCAGTCGTTTAACGCAAGATCAATGTATGTTACTTTATAAGATGGTTCATTGTGTTACAAATACTACTTCACAATATCTAATTGGTCCTCATGCTCTATTTGGGGGCACGGGTGGCCCAGTCGTCTAAGGCGCCGCAATTCTCTGTGAAGAGTTGCGTCCCTTGGGCACGCCAGAAATCCCGGCTCGCCCCGATTATGTTTGTAGGTCTGTCAGCACCATACCCGTGCTCGTGGGTTTCACCGAAGTGGTTAACGTCTAAGACCTGCATCACTTCGGGCTTTCCTCCCACATTAAGCTGACGCGCCGTGATATGACTGAAATACTGTTAAAAGAGACGTTAAGCACAACTCACTCATGCTCTATTTTCTGTCATTCCGCTGATCTATGCTTTGACGATTTTATCAGGTGACAAAGAAACTGAATGATTATTGTCTATAAACATTCAGAGTATGTTGTGCCATTGCTTCATAATAACACTGTGGTGAGAACGCGTGGCGTTAACGATTCCTGCCTCAGGCGATACACTGGACGGTCAGTATTTATAGATTCATTACGGGTAGATTAACACGTTTACTTACCCGAGAAAACAGGAAGGGGAGATACAGGTTACAATGGATTCAGCAATTTGTGTCATCACCTCCACTGAATCACTGACTGACAGGTGATGCGGGGGTGAGCTACGAGTGAGTGAGTGAATGAGTGAGTGAGTTAGTGAGTGAGGTTTTACGCCGCCTTTAGCAATATTCCAGCAATATCACGGCGGGGGACACCGGACATGGCTTCACACATTGTAAACAGCAATGATAAATATGATCAGCATGTGCCTTCAGTATGTGCTAAAACATGCAGAGATGATTTATATACCCAATGTTAGTCGTGACCCTTTTTTACACCCCCCCCCCCCCCCATAAACCACAGAAAATCAGTGATGACACCAGGTGTTCGCGAAAAGGATAAGCATGTCCTGCCCTATGGAACACAACCTAGTTACCCCAGGCAACCGTCATTCTACCCTTGGTCTTAGGTGTGTAACCATTTTATATTCTAGTGGAATCATGCTTATGATGAATGTCAGCGCTTGCTATATAAACATCAACCCGGATTCAGCAGCAGGGGATACGTCTACCTCACCGATGTGATGGATGTGCAATGAAAGATGACGAGACACGCCACAATCAATCCACTGTATAGCCATTAAGGGGATTCCAATCTCGAAAATTAACTGAAAATGATTTGCTACACTTAGCGATAATGATTGGGGTCAGGCGAAGAACACCAAATGCAAGCCTACATTCATTTTACAGCGAACGTTACACCTCGTCCACAATCACCTCTCTTTCAACTCAGGTATGACAGTATACGGAGCTGACAACAAATAAACTAAAACACACCCGCTGGCTTCGCGTGATCGAAACACGAGCTTAATACATCAACAGCACAGTCATTTCAATGTACATTAAATAAAACGGAAAGACAAAAAAATATAGTTGGACATGAACGCTTCCGCCAATTTGACGAGTGAGACCTTCTTAAACCGAAACCTCGTTAATCCGAATACCGGGATAAATGTGAAGGTCTACCAATATGCATGTGCCTCAAACAAAAGGACGTTACTTTATACACTTATTCGATTATCCGTATATCTGTTATCCGGGGAATGTCAGTGGGAATGTTATTGTTCGGATAAACGGGGTTCACTGTTATAATGTAAACCGGGCCCATTGAGACAGGAGGTCAAACTGATCAGATCGGGACTGCCACTAATGATAATACAAACCTTTGCAATCACAACTGACGGTGGACATTGCTCGTCTTGGTACACACACTCACGCGCGCGGATATCGGACTCCAACCAGGGTTCATAAACACAGACGGAACCATTATACAGAACACATACATTAATCGCCATTCCAATGGGGTAAACTCTCCGTTGAGACGAGTAGTGACGAACTGCACAATTTCATTCTAGAATCTATCCCACTGATACTGTTTTAACATACTAATGCAATATCCTGGCTGATGATGTCCAACGTGGGGCCCTTACTCAGGATATACTCGGGTAATGTACTTTCCAATACTACCGTGATGAAATGCACTTCGCCGCGCGGAGGCAAACGTGCAATGAAGGTCTGTTACAGACAGAGTTCTATTGCCCGATCTAAATTGATTAAATCAGCTGATCATCTGTTACTATTTGTTGGTGCTGATGAACAAACGTCTGGTATTCCGACAGTTAACTAGTTTGCTTTTTTTAATAGATTAGGAATCACGAACTGTTGTTCCCGGTAACACTGCCAATACCGTTCACTGGAGACCTGTATATAAACACTTAAAAGCAGTATCCATCTCATGTCAATTTCTAGTGTCAAGATGTCTATATCACTCACCTCTCAGAATCAACTGTAGTCCTACAGCCGAGCACTGTCAATCAATTCCACGAGCCATGTGAATTACAAATTACTAGCATGCTTCCCTATTGCTTGACTTCATTCTGATAAATGTGATGTAACAACGTTGGGGATTCTAATATCACCGCTCCTCAAATGTGTCGATAATTACAGCCAATCAGAACAGTCGATTCCATTTGGTGCGGAGTGCGAGAGTGCAGAACACTTCTGATGTGGACTACGGCTCGTGCCGTCACTTTTCGGTTATCGTAAAATCTAGTCACTGTGGACAGCCAAGTGTCTGTTTCAAAAACGGAGTCTTTTACACGCTTACTAGTATTGCCGTGTTTAGTTGAACCAAATCGATTAATGCCACTTGTGCAAACACTTCTTTTATGTGAAACCTTATGTTGACTCTTCCGCGTGTACTAAACATAGAACAATGCATATGTCCCACCAACTCACGGCCGCTAAGCATCTGACGATAAGGAAGTCACCGGACCTTCGGTAGTGATTTTTCCTCATGGTTATAATCGACCCAATTCAGAAAGACCTATTGACAGGACGTGACGTAAACAACAAACACAACAAATTGCATCTGAATAGTATTATATCGAATAAAATAATTATTACATTGGGATCGACGCAAGTAAGAAAAATGCACATATAACTATTTAAAAGGTGGGGAGTAATGTTAGGAGTTTTTCATTATTTTATTTATTTATTTACTTAATTTTCATTTCTATTTAAGAAACTTATAGCAGAATAGCTTAATAATTGATGACATGCTTGGGGATGTAGCTAGGGATGAGGATGACGTGGTATCCGACTGTGATAAACAACAAATGATCAAAGACTATTTCTAATCAATACGGTATATATTGTGTTTTCCTGGCATTGAGTGAGACAATGTGTGTGAGACAAACAAGCACACGCGTTAATTCTGTGCAGCTGTAACTTCTTGTTGCTTAGCAACGTCACAAAGCATTAAAACTACAAACCCTTTCAATGCACCGTCTTCTGTTTTGTGTTTTTATCGCTTTTAGCTATCAAAAACCGCATTTCATTTGAATTCTCAAGCACATTTACATTAGGCACTGAAATCACAATCTTGGTTCGTTTTTGTCGCGACGGCATTACACAATTCCTCTTTTTAAACAAGCCATATTCATACATGTAGATTTTTGATTCGCTCATTCAAAGCTATCGTATAGGAACAAATCCGAGAGTCAACGATCACCCGCCCATCGGCAAGAGTTGAATCTAAATGACGGCACGGAATAAAAGTTGGTCTTGGCCAGAGGAAGCACGAGCTATTTGCAATTATATTGGCCCTTCAATCTAGGAATCATTAGATGTGCCAAACGGCATGTGAAATAAAGCGTCAGGAACGGAAAGGATGAAAGACCCTATGTTCTCGCACACGAGGCGAGACCCCGATGCTTGCGCTATCGATTCCAAGAACTTAACTAGTATTTTCTCTTTTAAATCTAGAATTACACATCCGCTGCGTCAATGACATGTTTGATTGGCAAATTAAAGTCATTGTCTATGATAGGATGTCTATTTGGGAACATAACAGTATCAAATTAATTACTTTTATAACCGGTATTTTTTGTGCTTTCAGATAGCGTCGAAGGTACTCTACTGAAGTTGAAGACATCACTGGTTTGGCAAAACTTCCAAAAAGAGCTAAAATCATTTCAACTGGAATGTTATTTTAATCAATTTTGACCTTTCGCGCTTGGTGTACTTTCAAAGCAATGTTGTATTTATGTATGTTAATTTTTATAATGTGCGTGAAGATCGTGGAAGTTACAATTATGCCACTTAATTGACCTTAACGACTTTAGGCAATCACTTCAATGTATTCTTTTTATAGAAAACACATTCTTAAAAAATAAGACGACTTGTGCTGCGAACTCCTACCTTGGGTAGTAAATGATAGATTCAGACAGGGTTACTATGCCCCGCTAATACTTTCATGGAATTACGTTCCATCAATATCATTCGAAATGAATGTAAAAAAAATATTTGTAACAAAGCGTGCCTTAGATCCAGTGAACAAGACCATTAGGCAACTTAAACAACCACCAACATCTTCACAATCAGCAGTCTGACCTCGTCAGTAATTGCAACTGAGGTTATTTCCCTTTCATGTATGACGTCACAAGACACCATGTCTCCTCGATGATCTTAGCGTCTTTAATGCATTGGGTGAGTAATACCGTTACTTTGAAATCTCACGTTAGTCCTTTATTCTTCAAATAACGCTTTGGCCTTTATTATCATCTCTCATTAACTCATATTCATCTGCCTTCCCTCATATTCATCTGCCTTCCCTCATATTCATCTGCCTTCCCTCATATTCATCTGCCCCCCTCATATTCATTTGCCCCCCTCATATTCATCTGCCTTCCGTCATATTCATCTGCCTTCCGTCATATCCATCTGCCTTCCCTCATATTCATCTGCCTTCCCCCATATTCATCTGCCTTCCCTCATATTCTTCTGCCTTCCGTCACATTCATTTGCTTTCCGTCATATTCATTTGCCCTCCCTCATATTCATCTGCATTACCTCATATTCATCTACCTTCCCTTATATTCATCTGCCTTCCCTCATATTCATCTGCCTTCCCTCATATTCTTCTGCCTTCCGTCACATTCATTTGCTTTCCGGCATATTCATTTGCCCTCCCTCATATTCATCTGCATTACCTCATATTCATCTGCCTTCCCTCATATTCATCTGCCTTCCCTCATATTCTTCTGCCTTCCGTCACATTCATTTGCTTTCCGGCATATTCATTTGCCCTCCCTCATATTCATCTGCATTACCTCATATTCATCTACCTTCCCTTATATTCATCTGCCTTCCCTCATATTCATCTGCCTTCCCTCATATTCTTCTGCCTTCCGTCACATTCATTTGCTTTCCGTCGTATTCATTTGCCCTCCCTCATATTCATCTGCATTACCTCATATTCATCTACCTTCCCTTATATTCATCTGCCTTCCCTCATATTCATCTGCCTTCCCTCATATTCTTCTGCCTTCCGTCACATTCATTTGCTTTCCGGCATATTCATTTGCCCTCCCTCATATTCATCTGCATTACCTCATATTCATCTGCCTTCCCTCATATTCATCTGCCTTCCCTCATATTCTTCTGCCTTCCGTCACATTCATTTGCTTTCCGGCATATTCATTTGCCCTCCCTCATATTCATCTGCATTACCTCATATTCATCTACCTTCCCTTATATTCATCTGCCTTCCCTCATATTCATCTGCCTTCCCTCATATTCTTCTGCCTTCCGTCACATTCATTTGCTTTCCGTCATATTCATTTGCCCTCCCTCATATTCACCTGCATTACCTCATATTCATCTACCTTCCCTTATATTCATCTGCCTTCCCTCATATTCATCTGCCTTCCCTCATATTCTTCTGCCTTCCGTCACATTCATTTGCTTTCCGGCATATTCATTTGCCCTCCCTCATATTCATCTGCAATACCTCATATTCATCTACCTTCCCTCATATTCATCTGCCTTCCCTCATATTCATCTGCCTTCCGTCATATCCATCTGCATTACCTCATATTCAGCCCTCCCTCATATTCATCCGCCTAGGTTCTTATTCTTGTCTTGCATTAAGTCTCATACTGGATTTGGCATTAGTATATAACACTCTACATGAAACACGTTTAAAGGTTCAGACATATGTTTGCATACATGCCACAAATCAATAAGCTGGTAGTTCTTTGAAGTCTTCCGGAACATTCTCCAATCAGTTACTTCCTTGTCTAGACTGTAACGCCATGTCCAGAGAAGTCCAGTCATGTACAGCTGACCGCCTGGTTGTGATGTCGCTCGTGTACATTAATATTATTGTACGCATTGGGCATCTACTTGCATATATCAATCTCATGAAAAATGAAATTTAATTACATGTACTTTTTGTAAACATTCCTTAACTTCATATTTGATCTCCTGTTCAGAGAATTGGGTATATACAATACAACAGATGCATATGAAAACAGGCAAGCATTGATTTGGGATGCAAACTATCGCAATATCATACCCGTATAAATTAAATTGACTAGCCAATCCAAGGGACGGTGTTCCTCCTATTAATATTTTTTTAAATTGTTTCAGAAATCGTGAAGGTCATTCATCAATACATCGGATCAGTATCAAAGTAGGGTGAGTGAATATTGGTTTCGGCCGCAATAAGCCGACGAGTAAAGAATTAGAAGGCTAAACCCGTGCTGGACACGAACCTAATTATTCAGCATGACAAGGCAACATTTCAACCAGTAAGGTACCTCATTGCATCAATTATGCTGTATTTACAATCACGTACAAAACGAAGAAACCTTTGTCAACCATGCTCGTAGTGCCACCTGGCGTTTACAAGGCGAGTTAGAATATCCCTGTCAAGCGGAAGGTGTCTGGTGTCGCCACGTTGAATAACATTACGTTTCAGAAACGACAATGAACCATGTCGGCGGATTAAGTATGTGGGTAATTGGGCTTAACGCACCTGGTGTGTGTCGTCAGTCTCTCGCGAGGGGGCGCTGATCGGCTTGCGACACACACATGAGCCTTTAGGACTAGCATCTTCACTTATATGACACCCAAATCCTGGTGAATGTGACCATGTATGTTGAGATTAAAGGTTAAAGTCGGCATTTGCCTTGTTCGTGGATGTACATGTGCGCGCTGTCTACGTGCGCATGTATGGGTACACTCACTCAAATTGCATTCCCAGTGCATCCAATACATGCACTAATTTTGTTCTTGAGTTTTTCCAAGTACTTTATCCTCGACCGATTAAGAAATTACATTATTGTGATCAAAAGTAGACATATCTTCGCTCCACGTACTGCTACAAACAATGGATTGGGTGTAGTAACTGTTGTTACAGCAATGGTCACTCCAGTTGCTCGTCCAGGCGAGGGCAGATTGTGTCGTCTATGTGAGAATTCCTTCCACAAAAGAGACAAGCTGGCTGTTTAATCTGTCATCTGGTGTCTGTTATCCTTTAGTCATAGTGACCTCGGTAAATGTCAGAAGTGTATAAACTGTCAAGATTTGTCACTCACTCACTCACTCACTCACTCACTCACTCAAACCAACCCAGGTACACACCCACCCACCCACCCACCCAGACCCATGGGATAATGTATACTGGATAACCAACCGGCATGAGGCTTTTAACTGTGTAAAGTAGATGTCACTCGAATGACAATATATTAACATGTTTTTATTTAGCTGACAAATGAGTAAAGCATTTTGATCATCAAGCCGAAAACACGGATTCGATTTCCACATGGGTACTATGTGTGAAGCCCATTGTTACATTCACTCACTCACTCACTCACTAGCTCGCTCACTCACTCACTCACTCACTCACTCACTCACTCACTCACTCACTCCACCACCCACTCACTCAG